CTTTCGACCTAAGCCCCTCCTAAAGGTTGGTGAGCCTTCGCTCTTTCCTCGTCGACTGGAGTCAGTCAGTCGTCGTCAGTCAGTCATATTTGTAAGTCATTCGTCTCCTGAGGTTAGCCCCGAGTCCGTGCTTGACTCTGGCCACCTCAATCGACAGGCTTCTTTTTGTCCACCCGTTGTACACGGGCTGTTCTTTCCCCTCTTGGGTGTACAACTATTGTCGGTCTTCTCCCCTTTTCTTTGGCCTGATCAGCTGCTAGGGCCAAATATCTTCTTGTTGCAGCTGGCTTTTCGGTCTTTTATGACGCCTTATTGTTCTTGGGTCGTAATCCAAGGCGGCTTCAATCAGCACATTTCTTTTCAAAGAACTTTCTGGCCCTCTCTCTCATCTGGATTACGACCGGTACCTGTCGTAGTTCGTCATATAGCACTCTGTTAGGTACATACCACGGTGCGTCCACCGCTTCACGGAGTGCCATGTTTTGTTGAGCTTGGAGCCTCTTCTTCATCGTTTTGGAAACGTAGCCCCAAGCTACTGCTGCGTAAGTCATGATTTGTAGCAGCACCATCTGAATCATGATGGTCTTATTCTTTAGTGACACTTTGCTTCTTCTGCCCGTTAAGGGTCTTAGTTTGGAGCGTGCCATCTTCACTTTCTGCACCCGGTCTTCGACATGGTTCTTCCAAGTGAGTTTCTGGTCCATCTTGACTCCAAGGTATGTGCTGGAGTCTTTCCAGTCGACCTCAACCTCTTCATCTCTTCTCCAGCCTCTCTCCATTCTGGTGGTCGTCATCTTTATTTTGGTCTGAGGTAATCTTCGATTTCTTCGGAACAGTACCGCTTCGGTCTTCTCGGGGTTGAGGCGGATCTTCCACTTGATGCACCATTCCTCTAGGTTGGTGGTCGCTCGTTGCAGATATTCCGTAACCATGCGGGGTCTCGTACTTTCTGCCGCATATGCTGTATCGTCCGCATACACATACAGTTGCGTTTGAGGAGTCTTCGGGATGTCTGAGCTGTAGATTGGATACAGCAGGGGTGGTAGAACCGCTCCCTGCGGTACTCCTGCCTCCACAGTCCTCGTCGTCGAGGTTGTTTTACCGATCCTAATTCGGAAATTTCGGTGCTTCAAGTAGGACTTCACCAGTTGGATCATCCCCTTTGAGTATCCGTGGTCTACCATCTTGTAGATCAGTCCGTCATGCCAAACAGTGTCGAACGCCTTTGCGGCATCCATGAACACAGCTCCCACGGCCCGCCGAGTCTGGAACGATTTCGTTGCCATCTCGACCAGCCTTAGGACCTGGTGCTCTGCTGAATGCCCGCATCGGAATCCGAACTGTTCGTCTGGAACTACTCGGAGTTCTTCGGTTTCGTTCTTCAGTCTTCGTTCGATTACCCTTTCCGCAATCTTGCTCAGTGCCGTCAACAGGCTTATGGGTCTGTAGTTTTGGGGGAACCTTGGGTCTTTCCCAGGTTTAGGAATGTTGATCACCTCGGCTACTTTCCAGTGATCTGGAAAGTACCGGTGTCTCAGTATGGCGTTGACGATGTTGGTAATTGCCATTATCGCTTTCCTCGGGAGTCTCTTCAGGACTCTGTTCCCAATATCGTCTACACCCGGTGCCTTCTTCACCTTGAGTCTTTCGATGATTTCCCTTACCTCGCCTGGAGAGGGCATGTCTTCGATGGCTCTTCCTCCTCTGACAGCTCTCCTCGATCTTCTCATCACCTCGTCGATGAAGTCTTCGTCTTCATCGGGTGAGTATTGAGAGTACACTGTCTCTGAAGGTTGTCAGCAAAAGCTTCCGCCTTCTCTTCGGTTGTGTACACCATCCCCTGTTCGCTGTGTATTGGGGGGATGGGCTGTCTTCTATTTCTGAGGATTTTAGCCAAGTTCCACATTCCTGGGTCAGCTGGAGATAGTTCGTCGAGTTTCTTATCCCAGGTGCTCTGATGGTGCTGCTTCAAGGCGTCTCGTGCCTGTCTCATAAGTCTGTTTGCCACCATGATGTCAGTGGGGCTTCTGGTCTCCTGGGCTACTCTTCGGGCTCTGTTTCTTTCGGTGATCTTGCGATTTACCTCGTCAGGTAGGTCCCTGAACCTGTTTGGTTGCGTTATGTCTTCCACGGTGGTTGCGGCTTCTAACGCAGCCTTAATCTTCCTTTCTAGGTCCGTGACCGCTTCTTCTATGCTTTCGGGGCTTTCGATCTGTAGTAGTGGTCCTTGTGAATAGTGCAGTCTGGTTCTAAACCGCTGCCAATTCACTCTCTTCACTGTTCTTTGTTCCACAGGTGTTATCCCATCTCCCGTACAGAGAAAGATGGGGTTGTGGTCTGAGCTTCCCTCTTGCATGGCGCCGATGGTGGTGCGCATGTCGATTTCCTTCAGAATCGCCATATCTATGACGTCTGGTCTACCTCCGTTGCTGGGGTATATTGTAGGTTCGTCCGGACCTATCATGGTATATCCAGGTTCATCCATTAGTCTTTCCAGAACAGCGCCGTGACTGTTTCTGTTTCTTGAGCCCCAAATGGTGGACTTCGCGTTTAGATCACCTACGATCACGGTACTGTTTCCCAGTGCAGTGATACAGGTGACATCTTCCAGATATTACGGACTTCTTCTATACATATATATATATATATATATATATATATATATATATATATATATATATATATATATATATATATATATATATATATATATAGAGAGAGAGAGAGAGAGAGAGAGAGAGAGAGAGAGAGAGAGAGATAGATGAAAAGATTAAAATAACGACCACAGCTAATTATCATTTTGCATTTTATCATAACATAGTGGTTCTGAAAAGAACCGTTTTTTTTTTGTTCTTATTTTTCGAACCGTATAACCGTCGAAGCGAATACAACGTCTATATTATTTTGAACTGGTGTACTTGGTGACGGCTTTGGTACCTTCGCTGACTGCGTGCTTGGCCAATTCTCCCGGTAGCAATAGTCGTACGGCTGTCTGAATTTCTCTGCTAGTTATCGTGGCACGTTTGTTGTAATGTGCCAATCTGGAAGCTTCCGCAGCGATACGTTCGAAAATATCGTTGACGAAGCTGTTCATGATGCTCATCGCTTTGCTGGATATACCCGTATCGGGATGTACCTGCTTCAGTACTTTGTAGATGTAAATTGCGTAACTTTCCTTCCTCCTGCGCTTCTTTTCTTGTCAGATTTTGAGATATTCTTCTGCGCCTTGCCCGCTTTTTTGGCAGCCTTACCGCTAGTTTTGGGTGGCATTTTATTGTGAGATGATGCTGAGTATAATCGACACCAACGCTCGACTAACGGAACGACTGCAATTCTCTGGCCGTATTTAAGACAGGTGACGTTACGACCGTAGACTCCGCCCCCAGGCGTTTGCCGGCAAACGTTCGCGTCGATTGGTCGGTTAGTTCATATAAATACAACGTTCGCGGAGATCATGTTGTGCATTTGCAAGTTCATAGTCGACGTCGTTCGTTTAGCAGATTAACAAATTGAATATGTCAGGACGCGGAAAAGGCGGTAAAGTTAAGGGAAAGGCAAAGTCCCGATCCAGCAGGGCCGGCCTACAATTTCCCGTCGGTCGTATCCACAGGTTATTGCGAAAAGGGAATTATGCTGAACGCGTCGGTGCCGGAGCTCCCGTATATCTAGCGGCCGTTATGGAATACTTGGCCGCTGAAGTTTTGGAATTGGCAGGCAACGCTGCTCGCGACAATAAAAAGACCCGTATTATTCCACGTCATCTGCAATTGGCCATCAGAAACGACGAAGAATTGAACAAATTGCTTTCAGGCGTCACAATTGCCCAAGGAGGAGTTCTCCCTAATATCCAAGCTGTTCTTTTGCCGAAAAAGACGGAGAAGAAAGCCTAAAAAAAAAAATCTTCTGAACATACAATCGGCCCTTCTCAGGGCCAACAAGTAATTTAATAAGAAAATGAAGGGATTATCATTTGTATATGGAAAAATTTTCTCAGGGTGATATCGGATCGGTTGTGGCGCGAGAAGTTGGCAATAACTAAATTATTTAATCGAGGCATCTCATCGTCGCATTCACGTCTAATATTCGCCGGTATCTCGATAATGGGACATATCGGGACCGAAATCGTCGATTATTGTAATTCAAAGAGCCAAAACGTATAAGTCGATCAATTTCTCATATTCCGATAAACTCATTTATGTGAGTGTTTCTTTTTATTTTGTATAAAAAAAAATAGAAAATTAATGTGGCGGTTCAATCGGCAGATCCATTCTTTCTCACGAGAGTATATGGTGGTTCTGAAAAGAACCGTTTTTTTTTTCTTTGTATTGTATTTTCGTTCAACCTGTACCGTGGTAATTGCTGCGGAGTGTTTAACCACCGAATCCGTACAAAGTGCGTCCTTGTCTCTTTAATGCATATACGACGTCCATTGCAGTGACTGTCTTCCTTTTAGCGTGCTCGGTGTAAGTGACTGCATCCCTGATTACGTTCTCTAAAAAGACTTTGAGCACTCCTCGAGTTTCTTCGTAAATCAATCCGGATATACGTTTTACTCCTCCACGTCGCGCCAATCTTCTTATGGCCGGTTTCGTAATTCCCTGGATGTTATCCCTCAAACTTTTACGATGCCTTTTCGCTCCTCCTTTTCCCAATCCTTTACCACCTTTACCGCGTCCAGTCATTTTTCAAGATCTCTCGCACGTCGAACTGTTAAAGCGAACGGGCTGTTGCCAACTGACGGTACGTCCTCTCGTGACGCCCGGTTTGTTAGCGTTGTCGTCCCTCCTATTGGTCTATCAATTGGCCAATCAGACTGTTTCGTATTTCGAGCCCATATAAATATAACTGTTCGCGGTGTTTACCTCCGCTCACTATAATATTGTCCGTTGCAATATTCACGTCGCTGCTATATAGATAATTTATATTCAGTTATCTGAAATTTAACGTAATGGCGCGTACCAAGCAGACGGCTCGTAATCCACCGGAGGTAAAGCTCCCAGGAAAGCAATTAGCCACGAAGGCTGCCCGTAAAAGTGCTCCTGCTACTGGCGGAGTTAAGAAACCTCACCGTTATCGTCCGGAACTGTGGCTCTCAGAGAAATTCGTCGTTATCAGAAAAGTACCGAATTGTTGATCAGAAAATTGCCTTTCCAACGGCTGGTCCGTGAAATAGCGCAAGATTTCAAGACCGATTTCGATTCCAAAGTTCTGCTGTAATGCACTCCAAGAAGCTAGCGAAGCGTACCTGGTCGGACTATTCGAGGATACGAACTTGTGCGCGATCCACGCTAAGCGAGTAACGATCATGCCGAAAGATATACAGCTGGCAAGACGTATTAGGGGCGAACGTGCCTAATGGAATTGACGGATTTACTATTTGCCGGAAAGAGAGAGAGAGAGAGAGAGAGAGTACGGCGTGCGATAATAGGTTATAAAAAAAAAACGGTTCTTTTCAGAACCATCATATAGTATGTTCAGAAAAAGGGGATCGTGTATTATGTTAAGTATATCAGATTGTTGTTTGTACGCGTGCAATTTCGACACTATTATCGTGTATGCAAAATAGCGCTAAATGGTTATACGATAGTCGCTAGTTATTACCCGT